CATAATAATAACTCTTAATAAATATATAACCTTACATAAAATAGTCTTTGACTGTAAGTAACTAATAAACCCAGTGTAATTGACCCCCCAGTCCTTCTAATGGTAAATGGTCTGGCCAACCTTTAATTATTAGTTGGGAACCATTTCAATTATTCAGATACATCTCAAGGGATGCCTTTGGGATATAATTATTTAAATAGATCCTAGTGACTATAAGTCAGCAGGTAGGCTGTGTATTGAACATTAATAACCTATTAATTAGGAAACTTGGATTGCACACTTGCAATATTAATAACAAACCAGGTTCTGCTAATGCTATTGATATAAATATTTGATAAATAATTAAATATAATATATAAATGAGTAAAACAACCATTAATTAATAATTTATCATTACATCCTATATTAATAATAATAAATAACACCAGCAACAAATTTTTCTTTTTTTAGGTACTTTTTCATGTAACAAAGTTTTTCCTGAAGCTCTGAATTAGAGTGTCCAGGATTTTGTTGGTGATGAGAATTTAATGCTTTTAAATTGCAAAATTTGCAAAAGGAAAAGTCCACAGCAAAATTTGCCATTTTGCACCACAAAATCCTGACTAACAAATAAAAATATCTGGAAATGATTTTCAATGAAATCTTTCAGGGGCCCTAAGTCTCAATCAGTTAAATCAAGCCTCATTGTGTATTTATTTAATAAATCAATTTTGTAAGTTGATTTGCAATAAATTTCATCAGAATCAATTGTCCATCCTAACATTCTTCACTTAAACTTATTGATATGCAAGAGATGATTATTCAAATGGAATTTTATTAGATGCCAATGAAACTTCATTTGAAATGATGGATGGTGGTAATGAAGAATTGAATAGATGCCCAGATCCAAATCAATTTATGGTCTATTAAAGTTCGTAATATGGCAACAATTGACTATTTATTTTTAGGGGGTTTGATCAGATGAAATTATTGATTTATTGATGAGAGTTTTTGTGTACCCAGTAAAGATAAAATATTGGTTATGCCTCCAATATATGGAATGAATGTATTTAATAAGTGCAAATATAAATGATGTTGCAATTGTCAAGCTTTGAGGAAGGAAGATTTCAATTGAAGACTGATGAGGTGATTATTGAATAATTTTTTTCAATAATTAATAGATCAATCCATTATTATATTGTACATATTTTATAGATTTCCAAAGCTTTAAAACAAGATAAAAATATAAAAATAGTTTTCCTTTGCTCACCTGGAAATCCAACTGGCACATTATTATCTAAAGATGATGTTAAACTGATTTTAGATCCAAATTTAAATGGAATAGCTGTAGTTGATGAAACACATATCAATTTTGTTGGTAAAAGTAAAAATGCAAGTTTTGTAGATTGGGTGAAAGATTATCCAATTTATTATACAAACTTTAAGCAAAAGTTTTGTACTGGCGGGATGCTGGAAAAGGACGGGGGACAGGCAGGTGTGGCTTGAACCCGTCCCCCGTCCTTTTCACATTTGGCCCTTTAATACTAGAAAAGGACGGGCAATGGTACGGGTGTTTTTCAAAATAATTAAAAAAGGGCGGGCAATTATGAGGGACGGTGGCGCGGGTCAAGGCACAGCAACCCGTCCCCCGTCCTTTTCTATTATTCATTGGGGAAATCTTGAAAAGGACGGG